TCATGTGGAGGCTTGAAGTAGTGACGCTGTAAATCAAAATTGTGGCAGGGTTTTGTGAGAGAATCTGTTTAGAGTGGCTGTACGTTTATTGTTTAAATATCGATATTTGGCGCCAGTGTATCAATAACGTCCCGCAAGACGAAATATCGCAATATATCTTAGTATCGATATTTTGGCACACCCATATTTGACAGTAGAATTGAATCGAAGGAGGCAGAGCTAGGCCTGGGACGATAACAAATTTTGCTGGACGATATATTGTCACACGAATTATTGCCAATAAACGGTATTATTGTCAACATGATAATATATCATAATAATGCACACCCTTTCAAAGACAATAAACTTTTATTTCTCAGTGTTTTTTACCTTTAGCGATGTAGCGAACTTAACTTTCAATGAGCGCACACCATTTTGCGCTGGTCCGTTTATATTTACTTTGTCGACCGAACGCCTGAGTGAGTGTTGACTGTCGGGACGAAGGCTCTGCATCTCGAGCTGCACTTTGTTTCCCCAGCTGGTTAAACTGGGTCGGGTGGTGATGCTTTAGGTGGGCATGCAACTTTGTTGTGTTGCCTTTTTTCGCTGCCACCACTTTTGAACTGGTTCGTCCGTGTTGATGGGCTCACCTTGCTCATTCGGCTTGGAGCCGAAACCTTCCCACACCGGGGCTGTGGCATTTGACTTTACAATCATCTTTTCTCCTCGCGTTGCTCCACACAGCGCTCACTCACTGCACTCTGTGCGTGTAGCATGTGTGGCTGATGCTAGCGGCCCCGCCTCCCCCCACAGAGACAAAGAGGCTGGATGACTGACAAGAGGGTTCACTCCGTTCATTCCGCAACCAACGCCCCCAAGTGCTGAGACCGAGCACAGAGTGAACCCTCTTGTCATCCAGCCTGCTTGGAGGCAAGAGACGAGGAAAACAAACACGCATGCACATGGCGATATATCGAGGCTGGCAAAATTATCGAGTTCATTTTAATTTATCGTGCGATTAATTGATTTATTGATTATCGGCCCAGGCCTAGGCAGAGCAAGATTTGGCGGCACAAGAATTGACAGATTGTCCTTGTTTATATCAGGATGACAACAGTTTTTCGATATAATTTGCAGTCCTAGTGCTTTGCCAATGCAGAGTTTTAGATTTAACCTAATTCCTGTTTGCAAAAAAGGGCAGACCATGTGGTTCACAGCAACCCACTGTAACGCTGTTTTCAGACATGACCTGCATGTAAAATCCAGAGAATTGGCTACGGCATCTATCTGCAGTTTGCCTTTTACACTTGCACAACACAAGGGGAGATTCTGCGCACAGTGTACTGTTCACAACAGCAACATAACCCTCCACATTTTTCAGACAGGAGGTGGAGCAGCTGCAGGCAGAGGCAGGAAGCGACACATTGAAGGGCCCATATTTTACACTGTTCTGGTATTTAATTTGAGATATTAGTACCCCAAGATGATATATCTGTGGTTTAAAGTCGAAAAAACTGCTACAATGTTTATTTCCATGTCCCCTCTTCTGCATCTTGCTGGCGCTCCAGACAGAAGAGGCTGTTTTTGCCTGCCTCATTAATTATTTATGAGCCCCTCCTCTGACTGGCTGACTGCACTCTGAGTGATGTGCAACCAGGCCTATCACCGGTCTAATCCTGGAGCATTGCAGAACTCTCCGGTAAACACTAATGGTGACGACCACAACAGAGAGTTACGGTCGGTTACAACATGAAATTTCTGAATGGTAAGTCACACTGTCTCATGTTTGTTCAAGTTTCAGGAGGGCAGTCGGCCAATTTACAGTCCGAGTTACAGTTCACAGTTACAGTAGGGAGTAATGTCTACCTTACAGCACTGCTGCATGTAGAAATAGTTTAGTTCCTAATAATATTTGGTTGAAAAGCTCAGTTCACATAATGAAAAGGTGAGTTACAAAACACTGTATTTGACATGATGCCAGTTGCTTTTTAAGGTTGAAAACATAAGGTGGATTTCATTAGAGTATTATCGGGTGGTTACGCAATTAGCATTTTCCAATTGTTGCCGTCACGTACACATGACAGTACGTTTTCATGCTGTTATTTCACTAGTTCTATTGCTTTTTCCTCTACAGGTGCAGCTGTGGTAATGGTTCCATGATAAAAATTGAGAATGTGATGCTGGGAAACACACAAGGTAAATTATCAAATAATCATTACTGTAGCCAAAGCCTTTACATTGTGGTAGCAGAGTTTCTTATTTTTCATGACACAAACTTCATGACAGAGCATCCTGGCCAGGAAACTGTGTGCTTGACCATCTACTCTGCAAAATGCACACATTTATTGGACTGACTATGGGCCTTTGAGGCTCAGACTATAACGGTATGTGAGTAATGATTTCATAGATAATGATACAACTTAATTTGTATTGAACCTTTCATACAAAAATATAGCTAAAAGTGCTTTACATACATAATAGATAGAAAATAAAAACATGTTCAATAAAAACATATTTCATATAAGAGAAGATTTTATAAAGCATAACAGGTTAAATGACATGTCACAGAAAAGAACAACATTTACATAAATTTACAAAATAAATAAAAACTGAAAAAGACATTGATAAAAAGATCATAAACATGCAGGAGTGCAAGACCTAGTTAAAGGCTGAAGAAAAGAGAAGTTTTCTGTAAAAGACATTCACTGAACTGGCATCTACCTGATAAGAAATACTGTGTGAAATAGTGGCTAGTGTACAGCTTACATGATGTAAATTGAAATGCATATTTACAATAAATGTATCAACTCATTATTAAATGTATTGACTTATATTTATAACATGAAACATTTGAGGCACTTGTGTGCCTAAAGTAGAAATTACTTTATTACAGAAAATAAACAGTAACAGAATAATGTTCTTACATGGAATGTGCACAGACACATGTTTGTTGTGGTTAGCCTGCGGTAGCTAACAAGCTGCTAGCTGTGATGTCTGCTTTGTATCACGTTTTGTGTGGAGGGGAGCAGGGGTGGTGATGGTTGTGTGGAGCGGGGGTGTTGTGTTCAGAGGCTGGACTGGTACCGGGTGGGTGAGACTGAGAGAAGTGCTGTTTCCATGTGACATCACACGGACGCGGAAGTATGAAACGAGATGTTTCAATAACATATTTCTTAGAATGGGCTGAGTGAAAAAGTCAGCGCAGTGACTGTTTTCTTTAAGGGTACGTAGTGAAACCCTTCAAGTAATTACGGAGAGTAAAAGCCCAGAAAATGTATTTTACACAATATGATCCCTTTAATGCCAAGTTTAGAAAAGCAGCAAACAGCAGCCTTGCCTCTGCATCTCAGTAGGTGGAAACACTTTCTCACAAGGCAGCCAGCATGCAGTTCTAAAGATGACAGCCATACATAGGAGCATAAATGTATATATATAAATATATGTCCTCTACAAAAGTGCTATCTTTGTAATCAATCAAACAGCTGTTCATGAGCTGCTGGAGTTGTGCTATTACGACCATTCAACTCTGGCAATAATTCCAGCCCTTATAAATTATGAGTGAATTCTTGGGAAGACCTTGAAGCCTGTTGAAAAACTTAGTAACACTAACATCCCCCCATAGGTTTCTGAAAAGCAATTTGCAGCCAAGATTTCTTTGCTCACTGCCAATGACAAGAGAGCAGCAATCACAACAGCTGGCTGTGATACACTGAGATAACTGTCAGTCAACACTCACCAAACATTACTGTTTAAGCCTTAAGGTGACATTGTGAGAACACAGCCAGAACTCCTCCAGAGGACTCATCATCACGTGACAGACACAAAAATGAAAGAAAAAAGACAAAAAAGGGTGGGTCATTCAGGTCGTGCAACTGCAACGAATGTTACTATATGAAATAAATAATGTTATTCAAAGCTCTCAGATCCTCCATTACATTCATAAAATGTTTACTAGTACTACTACTAAGTAAAAGATCCTATAAATTTGAAAACCTTTTTTTTTTATCTAGATGCCACTATCAAGGAAAGAAAAATCAGCACAACACAGGTAGCACATTTCAAAATGATGTGGGTGCAAGAGAAGCAAGTCTTAAAATACACAGGGTTACCATTGCGATCAATTTGGGCCTGCCGCTACCTCAGCATTGGGCCAGGCACACATTATAGGTCCAGTATCCTTGTACCACACCGGAGTATCCTATCTGAGTGTCCTCCCTCCACACTCCCCTGCTGACCTGCACTCACTTTACACTTTAACAGTATCTGAAGTTAGTACACTGTAAAACCTAACAGTACATCTTAATAAATGAAGTAAGTTACAGTAACTTAATTTACAAAAAAAGTTGAGGCCACTGTTTATCAATAATTTAACATAACTCAAAAGTAAATWATTGAAGTAATAACTTAGTTACTTTGAGTGCGATTACATTTTTAGATCATTTTAAGTACCGGTGACATAATTCAATTTGTTTCATTGACTAGTCTTCTTTAAGTTGATTTTATACTATTAAAAAAAATGCAATTCCCATGTGCTGCTATTTTCCTATATCTTAGGATTTTAAATTGTATTTTTGTTCTTGTTTATAAATCATCATATTGTGCATAAGTATGCATCCAGATCATCTTTAATAATCCTCCAAAGTGGAACCTTAGTATGGTTGTTTGTTACATTACGTACAAGCAGGTATTTTTGCAACTTGATTGACAGAAAATGAATTGCCAACTAATATGATACATGATTCATTGTGTAGCATATGTACATTTGAAAGTATAAATGACAATTGTTTCATATATTCAGCTTCTATGAGAATATATTGTTTTATTTTTCCTTGTCTTATAAATCTTTTAATAKTTTTGAGTGTTGAAGGATGGGGCAACTACATCACTGTGGGCTGAACTTCTGTTCATGATTTCCAAACGATTTTCCAGCCCAAATCATTGTCATATTTTATGACTATTTATTTTTTCCGGACCATATTTCCTGCGTGTCACRGCTGCCTGGTTCCTAGTATTTCCTCGAATAAAAGCAGGGCTCTATACGCAAGTAAACGTCAAGACTCCACGTTRTTACTCCGTGCATCTTCCGCTCCTGCAACAATAAAACCTTGTTAATGTAAATTAATCGATTCAGTCAACAGAAACGCGAGGGTGCTTTTACTCTGAAACGGGCACAGGAAGAATTGATTGCTTTAACCGGAAGACACGGCGCTGAGGTGAAGCGGCTCTCCGGCCAATCCACACCAGTAACATAGACAGCGAGGCCCGGGAGTAAACTGTGTCATATATTTAGAAAAGCTATTTCAGCGTTTACAGACTCATTCAACTTTATACGCCAACGTCACGTAAGTCTGCTCACAACCGGTAACCTGCCGTTCACCTGCTGTCGCACACGGTACCGAGGGGGGCGGAGGGCGGGACCGGCTCAAACCGGTCAGCACCAGGTTTGCACTCGGGACCGGAGTGATGAAAAAGATCGGCGCGAAGAGTTTTTTGCTGGACAAACTTCCCTACTGACCGAGAACCCCGCGACGATACGTCTTCCACGCAAGGTAACGTTGTTCTTTTATTGCTGCTTTTCATGCTTTGGTTTTTGAAATATACAAGAAAAATGTCTGACCGCTGAAACTTGCTAAGGAGTTCGGTTAAACGGCGCTAGCTTGAAGCGCACCCAATCCCGCTTCTGAAAAACATTCAAAAGTTAACGGCCCAACGTCGTGTAGTTTAAATTGGCCGGTGTTGGATTAACATTAGTTTGTGAAAGTGTTCGGTCAAGCTCCAGTTATAGTTCGGGTTCGGTAACGTTAAGGTAATAACTGTTCAACTATTTTAAAAGCACAGAATGAAAGAGAGAATGGTGGTGGAAACATGTTAGCTTGGCATGGTGCTTTCAGGCCCCACCCTGTTAACGGTCATTGTGGAAAAGTGGCAGGTGTGTGAAGACTCAAACCAAACTCAGAGTTTCTGCCGAGACTTTGAGTTCTACTTTCTAAAGTCAGTTGTTTTAAGGAGAGCAAACCATGTGGAAATGTAAATTGTGTGATTTTTCTACTGCCCTACAAATACAGTTATTGAGACATTACAGACTGTATCATGGCCAGTATTCCACAATTTTCCCTTTACCATGCCTGTTTAACAACTGTTTGTGTACATTTAGTACATATAATTCACTAAAGGTACATTTGTCGAGAACACATTCAGAGAAAAAAGTGGTAAGTGAAGACGGTCATGATTTGAGTATTCAGAGGGCATTTCATTGCCCTGTGTGTGATTTTAGGCAACCATTTGTTGAGAGGGACATGTTTATACACCTAAGGGGGCATTTAAGATGGGAAGAAATTGTGCCATGTCCTTTCAGGACCTGCAAGTTTAAAACAAATGTTTACTCCACATATAATGCCCACAAATGCAGAGAACACCAACATGTGTCAGACTATGATGTAGAAGTTGTGGTGCAAACTGTTTCAAATGTTTGTCAGTATAGTGACATTGAACAGGATCCAGTTCAGTTTTCAGATGAAAATGAAACTGCCACTGTGTCAGACAGAAGCAATGAAGGGTTAGCAGAGCAGTTACAGTACAACCTGGCTGCCTTTTTCTTGAAAATGCAAACCATTCTCCATGTATCACAGAGGGCAACACAGGAAATCATTGAGCATATGGATCAGTTGTTTTCACTTTCAGAACCTGTTATCAGAAAATCGGTAACAAAGATATTAGAAAAACATAACTGCCCTGTTACTGACACACTGAAGTTCTGCAGGCAGTTTCAGATAGTAATGTTTTGCACAAATCAATTACATCTGAAGGACCACTGTCCACAGCTAAGAGACGGAAATCCTATTATGAGGAGAAGTCTCCAATTGTTAAGCCTGTAGAGTACCTTATTGAGTCGTCCCAGCATACCTTTATGTATGTGCCCATTCTCACATCTTTGCAGCAGTTGTTGAAAAAAACAGATGTACTTGAGAAAGTCAAAGAAACTACTACACAGTTGCCTGGGCATTATTCATCATACCGTGATGGCTCCTACTACAAGGAAAATCTGCTTCTTTCTGATGAGGATCATAATTTATCAATAATTCTCTATGTTGATGATTTTGAAATTGCAAACCCTCTAGGAACATCAAAAAAAATACACAAAGTCTGTGCAGTTTATTGGACATTAGCTAACCTGCCAGTAAAGTACCGCTCAGCCCTCCACACTACTCAACTGGCTCTTTTGTGCAATTCAAATGATGTAAGGAAGTTTGGATATGCAAAAACATTTGCACCCCTCTTGAGTGACCTAAAAACTCTTGAAGAGGCTGGTGTCTACATTGAAACATTTGGTGACTGCCTCAAAGGCACAGTTTATTCTGTTGTGGCTGATAACCTTGCTGCCCATGGGCTAGCTGGTTTCAGTGAGAGTTTCAGGTCTACATATTTCTGCAGGTTTTGTCTTGCCACCCAGACAGGATTGCAAATGTCAGATGCAGTCTCTGGTAGTTTTGAGATGAGAACCAAAGATCTGCATGATAACCACGTTCAAGAAATACAGAACAATGACAATGGAGACAATTGCGGTGTAAAACGCAGTTGTGTTCTCTCTGACCATCTCTCTTATTTCCATCCTGTCACTGGATTTCCACCTGACATCCTACATGACCTGTTTGAGGGTGTGGTTCCTGTGGAGTTGGCACATTGTTTGAAAGGTTTGATCACAAACAAATACTTCACTTTGGAAGAGTTGAATAGGGCAATATTATCCTTTCCCTTACAACATTCTGACAAGGTTGACCGCCCTCACCCGATTCCTCAAACTTTTGCTAAGAGAGGAACAGTTGGGGGGAATGGGCATGAGAATCACACTCTGATTAGATTGCTTCCTATTCTCATTGGCTCCAGAGTCCCAGAAGGGAACAAATTCTGGGAAGTGCTAATGGACTTAAAAGATATTGAGCTTGCTATGTCTCATAATTTCAGTGATGATACTATTCAGTACTTGGCGTGTAAGATTTCAGATCACAGGCAGCTGCTGCAGGAAGTCCTTCCTAGCTTACGATTACGCCCAAAGCATCATTTCATAGAGCATTATCCTCATCTCATTAAGTGCTTTGGTCCTCTGGTGCATCTCTGGACAATGAGATTTGAGGGGAAGCACAAAGTTTTCAAGAAAGTTATTCATGACACCAATAACTACAAAAATGTGTTGAAAACTCTGGCAGAGAGACACCAAAACATGATGGGATTCTATTTGGCATCTCCAAGGTTTTTCAAGCCACAAGTACAAACTTCAAAAGTGGAGTCTTTCTATGTTGAGTCACTGCCTACTGATACACATGCATTCATATCGAGCATCACAGACAGCAGCAGTGTATACAGTACAAAACATGTAACCATTGAAGGCACAACTTTTGTGGCGGGCATGTTTGTTTGCACTGGGACACATGCCGCATTGCCTGAGTTTAAAGAGATCAGAAACATATTACTAATCAGAAATAACATCTTCTTTCTTCTGAAAGACTATGAGACCTGGTATATTGAACATTTACAGTCCTATGAGCTAACAGATCATAAAAGCATGGAGGGCCATACATTGAAATCTGTGTGTCAACTAACTGATCAAATGCCACATGTTGCCTACAAAGTTTCAGGCAAGCTAATTCTGACAACTAAACATTTCATTCCAGTGTCTGAGTAAAGGAGCAGCACCTTCCTGTACACACTGGACATTTTCAAAGGTATGGTAAGGTACTATGTGTTGGAGTATATCATTTCTGTATAATGGTTAGTTATATTTGTGAATATTTAGCGTAAATTTAAGATTGCATTGTTCCAATTATACCATGCTCTGTTGTAAATATTTAACCAGTCCGTGCCTATTTAAAGGACATTTTCAATATTATGGGAAAGTTAAATGGAAGAGCAGCAGAAAAGTGTGCAGCCAATTTACAGATCATTGTGGTTGCTCTATTCAGCTAGTAAAAAACAAGGAGCCTTCACCTGAATTAACTATTTGTGTTTTGTGTTGCAGGTCTTCCTAATACAGAGTAAATGGATCCGAATGCTGTCCTAAAACTAAGGGTCATCCTAGATGATGTCAAC